TCATGATCACTATATAGATTTACCTGACCGCGTTTGGTGGCCCTGCTCTGCATCAACATTCCACCGTAATTGAGTTCCATCACACCCCGATAATGAGATCGATGAACTACATCGTAAGGTTTCACGCTTGATTTGAATAGAGAGACTAGACACATTCCCATAGCTTTGGTGTATCTTTTTTTTTTTTGAGAAGAATAAGGGCTGAATTGATGCGAGGAGAAAGAATCAGAAAGCCAGATCCGAACCTATACATTTCTCGATGCGCCCCACAGCACTATAGCGACAGGTCCTTCGTTTTCCTCGCTTCTCATATTGGATACAGGTCTCGATAGCCTTTCCTCCCACCTGATCATCATATCAACATGTATGCTTTTTGTTCTCATTGTCTGCCACAGTTGGGTTCAAATGTCACATCAGAGTTCAACCCTTGGCTTTTGTTGCAACTTAAGCAGTTTTCTTTTGTAGAAGCTTCTGAAATAATGAAGAGCCACAGAAAGGCCCATGTAGGCCGTTGTTAACAGTTTTGAGAAAGCCTGAAGGCACACCATCAATCCACTTGGATACCAGTTGAGAGACAGGGGCTGAAGTCCACACGAAGAAGGAAATCCATGTCATTCTCTTCGATGTAATTTGGAGGAATACCGGCGAAACGCATACGTCGTCATCGAGTAGTTTTTGGGGATGAAGATGAAATGGTAAAGTATAGAAGACTTCCCAGCCATGAAAGCGGGGATGACATCTTTCGTACTCCAGCTAAACCTCCTAGCAGTCCATCAATTACTATAAGACTGTTTCCTGGTAAAGTCAGTCCACCAGAAGTCCAAACTCATGTCCATGGTTGCTTTCGTTTTTTTAATCACGGCTTCAATCAATGCATACAGCAATCGCGACCACAACCACCAACATCCGATTGTTCGAAACTCGTTTCAGAATAGTACCTCATGTAAAAAACACGATAGCGACCAACATGAATGGTAGTCGCGGTTTTTGGAGAGAAGAAACAAAGACAATTTTTCCTCTTCTAGGGTAGTTGCTGATCATACAAGAGTAACGTTGGGCGGATCAGAAAAAGCCATAGAATTGGTTGGTTGTGTTTTGAGGCAATGATGGCACCGAGCAACTCCATTGTGTGGATTCTGGTGATTTTTGGAGAAAAGACCGAGTTCCCAGGGTGACAGAGTAGAAAGGCGTAGAGATAGTTTGAATACATCCTAGCGCATTGGCAGATGCTGCGTATAGTCCCGATGGTGATCATCACCATATTGCTTGCAAGTGAATATGAAGACGCTTGGCACATGCGTGCAATGTTACAACATATTTGGCTTCATTAGCATTCTCCATTTTCCCAAACTATGTACTTGGTATACGAGCGTGCGATATCCATGTCCATCTAGTCGTACAAGGACTTCCAACTCAAAACAGACGCCGCATCTCCGTTTCCCACTAACATTATTTTGCCGCTGTAACCACACCCTCGTATTCTCGACTCGCTATGTAATCCAGGGTGCGCTGGAAGTGTTTCCTTGGGTTCTCGAGCGAAGAGGCGTTTTCGTTGGATTGTAGGTTGGAGTGAATGAGCTCGATGAGACCGTTGAGGTATTTCGTCGTGACCTAGTAATCGTTAGAAAAGCTTCGGAGTTTGCAAGATGGCAACTTACAGCATCGTTTTCTTGGTCGAAGTAGTAGACGTATCTGTTCAAAATCTCAACGAAGAGCTCGACTGAGACCGCGGCATCCATGCATGCGTCAGCTACACGGAGAGCACGCTGTAAGCACTCAAGCACTCGCTTGCCATCGCGGTAGAGCTGTAGCAGTCAGTACTGGTTTCTTGAAAGTCGGATTGGATCTACTCACGTTCTTGGGGTCCTCCTCACCCAATGCCCTAATCTCAGTCGCCCACCACAGGTGACTTGCGAGGTATACTGCGCGACACTGATCCGGCTTCTTGAGCAGTTTGCTTCCATGTAACGCGCACTTCGTAATTAGGGTATCGTAATTCTCCTTGCCGAAATTTCTCGTTGTGTGTAGACCACTCGCGATGACGCATACAGCTTGGAATTGGGCTCTTGAGTCGCTGATTGCCTCCTCGTATATTGTAAATGCCTGTGCGAAGAACTCGTACGCGACCTCTTCGAAACCGTTCTGATCTGCGACTTGACCACAGGCGATGAAGAGGCGGAGGGATAGGTCTGCGGAGCCAGTAACGCGGGTGTAGAGTGTCGACAGTGTGCTGTGCATGAACTTGTAGAGAGCGGATGATTGTGATTGCCAGTTGTCTTCGAAGTGTTCGCGCTTCTTGTACTGCCGTGCGAGCTTGAGTGATGCTGTGATGATGGCGGGCGATGTGTACTTGACGCGCTCGTTGCCTTCGGCGAAGGACTTGCGTGCGGCTTGAAGGAGCTATAGGAGTTATTAGTACGTACTATAGTCTGCATGTTAATTGAACTCACCTTGAATTGAATATCGTTGTCCTTGCCGCGAATAAGGTGTACTATCCGCGCGAGCCATCCCTGCTCTTCTATCGTCTCTTCCGTCTCCTGTGCCCGTCTTTGAATCGGTCCTCCTGGATATCCCTGCGCCTGCTGGATGCCTTCCCGAATGAGAACCTTCAAGATCTCCAGCACACTCTCGAGATTCTCCACGGATGCGATGTAGGTCTGATTCCGCATCAGACTTCTTGCGACTTCGCCGGCCACGGCTCTCCGAGTCGGGTATGGTTGTGAATGTAGCAGAGGGATGAAATTGGGTAATGCGAGTGCGGTAAAGAGAGAGATGTAGGTCTTGATCGGCGAAAGGAGGAGGCTGAGGATCTGGCTTTGAGTTGCCTGCGAGTGCAGGTCGGCGCTGTTGGCGTATTCGGCGACCTTTTGATTCGCAAACGTCAGGACTTGGTCGATGTAGTCGAGTCTTTCGGGGTAGATGTTCCTGTGAATATTAGTATCGTCGCCATACCAGAAAGTGTGCTGGAACGTACAAGGCAAGGTTTGCTAGCGAAACTAATAGCCCAATCGTATCTTGTATTGGTAGCCGCTGCATCTTGACCAGCGTCTGCACCTGCTCATGGAAGATCTCGAACAGCTTGACATTGTTCGGTATGCCGCGTCTCTTCTCGATATCGCCGTCTGTCTCGGTCGCTGGGGTCTCATCGTTCTCGGCGGAGGTCTCTGCGGGTTTCGATGCCTCTTCGGAGTCTTCTTCGGTGCTTGGCTGCGTCTCTGAGGGTTCCTCTGCGTCTCCGTTCTGCTGCGCTGGCGCTGATTCGGGTTCGGCGGCCTTCTTTTCCTTTGCTATCCGCATTTGCTCCATGAGTTGTGCTATTGACTCCTCTTCCGTCTTCTTGCGCTGCTCTGGGCTTTCCGACTCGGCTTCTCTCTGCGCGTACGACGACAATCGATCCATGAGGCCGACTACGATGGCTTTGACATTTACGTGTGGATTTAGGCGTGCGACGGCGGAGAGGAACTGGTCGAGCGTGTGCAGGTGGAATTCGTCCGGGAAGACCTGGGTGACAACTGCCGCGTATTAGTGAGATCCTGAGGTCGGCAATCCGATACATACCCTCGAGGAGGTATTCCTGGGCCAAGACATCGCGACATTGCACAATCTGTTCCAGCAGCGGGTTGAGGATCTTCTTGTAGTTGTCCAAGTCGACCAGCTGGCTGAGCCTGACCAAGTTGCTGCCCACGAGGAGCTGCAGTTCCTGGCGCTCCTTGGTCCGCTGCTCGCGCTCCCTGGAATGGCCCTGGTGCTGCAGGCGCACCCACAGCTTGTTCATTTCGACAAAGTTGGTCAGGATGAAGCTGATGGAGTCCTGCAGATTACCCTCGGGCCCCTCGCTGTCGCCCGACGGAAGGCAGTCGCGAGCCTGGCCGGCCAGATAGTAGCGCAGGAAGAGGCCGCGGATGGGGTGCTGGACGCCGCGACTCATCTCCATCATGTCCTTCATGATCTCCTTGACGGGCGCATCCTCAATGGCCATGTAGACGGTGCCGACGGTGACCATGAGGTACAGGCGCGGGATGATGTTGCCGGCATACTGGACGAGTTCGTAGAGGTCGGCGAGGTGGTTGACGGGGTGGTTCTCGCGCAGGTAGACGGAGAGATGGCGCAGGGCATCGAAGACGGCCATGTACAGCTCGTAGTACTGCTTGGGGCCGAGGCTGCTGGTGCGCAGTTCCGACACGAGAGTCGAGCTATCATGGGGGTCATTAGCACGACAAGACATCACCAGAGGGGCCCTCGGAGCTTAGAGTTGTCGGCGCGTACCTGCACTTGAGCGCATCCATTAGCTTGCCCGGCGTCTCGAGGCAGCGCCGCATGAGCATCGTCTGCTGGCGCACCACGGCCAGGGCATCTTCGAGCAGCCGGGCCTGGTCTTCTACGGGGGGCGGCGACGCCATTGTGAGCGAGAGAGGCGGATCGTCCGGGGGTGTGGAGAGCTCGTCGTGGATACGCACCGCCGCCTTGGGTGTAACCGTTCGCCAAGCACGCAGGGATGCAAGCTCCCCTTCGACCTGCGTCATCAGCCTTCACATCATCACTCTGCCATGTCAAAACTTGGGCTTGTGCATGCGTCTATTATTTAATCTATTGGTACATCGGCATTCGTCTCACAGACGTGTCTGATCTTCATAATATAACTCCTCGCCGTACTAGGCTGGCTTCCGGCCATTACTCGTATATCGTAAAACACAGGGAGAAAGGAACAGGCGGGTTGAGCCAGTCTGCCGCCAAAGCAAAAACACCAAAGAAGCCTGGACCGCAGACATCACGCAGCTAGCTATGGCGCCGCGGTGACAGCTGCAGCGGCTTCGAACGTCTTCACGCGGTAATGCGTGTGCCACATGCCATCATCGTAGTACTCCGTGGGGCCATTGTCTGGCGATAGCGTGACCGTGACGAAGATTGGCTTCGGCGTCTCGACTGGCGTTGAGATGGTGCTGGAAGACAAGCTCGAGATCGTCGGTGTTGCAGTTGATGTTGGCGAAGGAACCGATGGGCTAGGAGTTGATGTAGTTTTGACCGATGATGTTGGTGTAGGTGTTGGCGTAGGAGTAGACGAGACTGGTGTGGATGTTGACGATGACGACTTCAACACGCTGCTCGAGCTGCAGCTAGATGTCGACGCGGGCGCAGGTTGAGGCTTGACGACAGTCGCAGTAACTTCTTGGGTGACAGTCTGTGCCGGACCGACGACTTCGACCGTCTTCGTCGTCTCGATCACCGAAGTGGCTGTTGCGACCGGGGTCGAGGCGTCTCCACCGACATTGACAACCGAATAGCTCTTGTTGCGTGGGACAATCTCGCGGGGCTTCGACGAGTCCAAAGGCCGTCCGGTAGCCAGTGTCGAGAAAAAAGCGGCCAGTGCCAGAGTCTGAGCGTTGAGAAGCATGGTATCGAAAGGATTGGGATGGTTTATTGACTGCGCCGTTGATAGTCGTGTACACGTGTTGAGCACGGCTTCGGTGTGGGTATGCGCTGGCAGAGAACAGTGTGGGAACCACGATGTAGGCATCCGTTTATTAGATCCATAGCTGCTGTCGTGCTGCGCAATTTCTCGAGGGCTGGAAATGTGGTGGTTGGGTGATGGCTGGTCGTGCACGGACCACGGCTCCCGCGACGCGAAGCTGGCAGACGCGACAGGCTGGACTCATCCAAACTCTTGACCGTCAAAAACTTGGAACTTTGCGACCTATGTAGCATGTTGTTATATGTCGCATCACATGTCAATGTCGGTCAATCGATACAATTATAACGTTAATTAGGTCAGCGCTGTCCAAAAGCCCCGTTCCCCGGCATCTCCTGCGGCGGCCTCTGGTTCAACGCCATTTCCTGAGGATCCCGCGTTCCCTGCGCTTCGACCATTGGACCACCCTGGAACTGGCTCCCATACGGATTCGCGTTCATCTCTTGGTAGTGTTGTGACTGGTACTGAGGCTGCTTGTCCTGGGCCTCGACCTCACTCCTGTATGCCATGCCGTCCACTTCCTGGCCCTGCCTCATCCAGGACTGTGTCGGATCCGTCTGTTGCATCCTCGGTTGCATCAGAGCCGATTGTATTTGCGCCTGCTGGTTGATCTGTCGCGAGCGTTTCTTGCTGTGTCGTCGGAAAGCCCAAAAACCCAGGCCGGCGAAGAGAAGAAATAGTCCTACTCCGACACCCACACCAATGCCGATCATCCTCTGTTGCGCGTCGACAGCTTTGTCTGATTTGATGTCAGTCAAATTAAACGGCTGCAAACTCAGAGGTCGGACTCACCGAAGGTGTCTTTCGCATCATTTCGGTTGGCATCTGGCGTCATATTAGAGACTCAAATGTGTGAGGGAGGCAGGCATACTGACCGAACTCGCTACTTGGATTAGACATACAGACTAAGCTTCCGGATGAGTCTCTTTCGCAATCTGAAATCGATACTGAAGTTGGGAAGGACATGAAGATGGGATGGGTATAATCCCTTGATCTACAGTTCCGCTCTGACGTATACTTATTGATCTTGTGTCAAGGCAAGGCAGTAAGCACTAAATACGTATGCGAGACGATCTACTCGTTCTACTTATATCACAGCACAGTGATGGCAATTCAGGGCTATGTCCATCCTTCTCTCGTTGGAGTAGCACTGAGCTAGCCGCTTCAGGAAAAGTGCATGCACGCGAGGAACCGCCCTGCCAACCGGTAAGGCTGATTGGCAGACTCACAAGATGCGGAGCACGCTCAGCCTCGTCACATCGGACGCCTAACCTGACAGGAAGATCTATATCCTCTTTTGGGGTGCGCTGCAACGATCGCTTTCAGGATTGTCGCCCAGCACTACGGTAAACTCGGATCTATCCTTACCATATACCACTGCTCACCTCGCGTGTTCCGATGGTCATGCACAGTGGCAACAGCGATGGAGGAGCGACTGGGAAACGTGCTTGATTCAATACTGTTAACAAACTTCTCAGAAAAGACATTCAGACCCCACGGAACTCTGGCAAATCCTCATCTCGCACCCGTACCTGTCGCACACGGCCTTCACCTTTAGCCTCTTCAGCCGAGAAGTCTCGTGGTTCAGCCTCGTCCAAAGCCCTTGTTTTCACACTCTTGCTGAACTTCTTGCTCCACCACCGCGCAATGCCTCGTCCTTCACGCTCCACTGTTGCTCTTCCCTGTCCGTCCGATTCTGCCTTGTATCCACCTATCGGAACATCGCGTTCAGTAACAACAAGGTCGCTTGCGGATGACCGATGAGTAGAGCTGCGTCTTCCAAGTAGGAAGGCGGCGACTGCGATGAGAAGAACCCCAAGTATGGCTCCGATGCTGATGCCGGCGATTGCCCCGCTCGATAAGCCTGTGTTGGGAGAGGTTGAAGCTGGCGCCATTGTGTTTGGTGGTGGAAGTGCGGATGAGGAAGGTGTCACTGAAGATTGTGTAGCTGGGATTGTTGTTGCAATGGATGTTGAAGAGGAAGCATAATATGAGGAAGGGAAGACAACAGTGATCGGGACGGTCTCTAGAGTCGAGCTGAACCTTTGCGTCGTGATGAACGCGGAGAGAAAGAGGGACATATTTTTGCAATGTAGGGATCTGGAGCCACGTTTGCCTGAACGCGCGCAGTAAACAAAATACCGACGAGTCTGAAGTTGCCTCGTCGATGCACACGATAAGAACGGACGAGGAGATGAAGAGACTGGCAAGGCGCAAGTCGAGAGGATAACCATTTCTCTCTCGGACGGCCCCCACACCACACCAGCCGTTCACTTCAGCCAACTACTACACTTCTTCCTATAATTGGTGCCTGTTCTCATAATAGCGATAAAACCTCAGCCTTTGGACAGCCAGGGACCGGATCTAGTAATACCTAGCGAGGCCTCACCAATGAGGGTGCTCTCTCGGATAAGATGTTGGAAGAATTACTCATCGGGGTTGAGCTCCGCAGCCTGATGTCTACAGCCTTGTGCATCACGGAATACTGCTGGCGGGCGAAAGTCATAGGGGAAAGATGAGATGCCTCTCTTCTGATAGCAGTCGTAAGCCTCTAGCTACTCGGCCGGCTTCGCCTGTCCGTTCGCCATACTCGGCTTCGGATTTCCCTCAAAGCTCTTGGCATGTTTCCAGCCCTGTTCCAAAGAACTCGCAAAGAGCCGTGTAGTGCCCCAGACATCGAATTGCACTGCGATACCACGCATACCAGTTTGGATAGCCATGGGTATCTGATCCAGTCCCATCACACCACTAAAGCACCCGTCAGCCGTCTGGTCCAACATGAAGTAACATGCGATATACGTACCCAAAGATAGGCAGATCATACTTGGCAGCCGCAGCATTGAACGTCCCCATGGCTTCGAAAAATTTCGGATCGGGATTTCCGTTCATGAATGAATGGATGTCCATGCCAGCGTCAATCATGTAGTCGCCAGGACCAAACATGAGACCAGAGATGCCTTCAACGGCGGCAATTTCCTCGCAGGCCTCAAGGCCCTTCAGAGATTCGATCTGGGGGATGAGGCAGACGTGGTTGTTGGCGGTTTGAACGTTGTAGGGGTCGTTAGGGTAGAGCGATGACGTCAAGCCTGGTGTGAATGTCCAGGGGCTGAATGAACGATGGCCTTTGCCGCCTGGAAAGACATATTGTGTCAGAATAGGTGGTGATGGTAAAGATATGGGGGACATACCGCCAAAGTACATTTCCTTAATGAAGTCGCGGACTTCTTGCGCACTCTCCACATGGGGGATGACGATGCCGGCGCATCCTGCGTCGAGGGCGGTAGTGAGACTCAGCTCATCATGCTTGGGTACGCGGCAGATGACCATTGATTTACCCTCGGAATGATGCTGAGCGGCGTGAATGCAACTTTATCGTGAAGGTCAGCTTTGGTTTCTTATACACATTCAAGTTCTCAAAATCTTGTCGCAATTGGATCGAAGAAAACTTACTCGTGCAACGTCAACCGGTTGTACATGCCGTGCTCAACATCCATCCAGATGAAATCCGGCTTAGTGGAGGCAATCAACTTGGTCACGAAGGTGCTTGGGATACCTTGCGCGATGCCCATGAGGGTCTTGCTCGCATCTGCCTGGGCGTCTTTGAGGGCTTGTTTGAGGTTTGCAGGTTGCGTGAGCATAGCGGCACGGTAGGGTGCTTTGGCGTGGAGCTCGGGCTGCTCGCTGTACGGCTTGAAGTCCGCCATCTTGGATGATGCTTCAACGTTGTGGATATGGGAGGTATTGGAAGTGCAGTAAGATTGTGATAAGACTTCAGAATGTTGTTGCTCGTGCGTTCTGGTTCAATTGCTGACTTTGATGTGCAAAGAATACTCAGTCTTTATACCTGCTGAGTATATCTCCACATCTTATCATGCGTGAGTAAGCGGTAGTACCGTGTAGTCGCACCCGCATGTTTCGGAGCGGCCATGACTGCTGCCTTGATAGGGCGAAAAGTCGTCCGGTCTAGATACACAACTGGGCAACGTCGAGGATGACGGTGGCCTCGCCTGGTTAGCGCTTATTACCGAAGACTTCTTGCGCTGACGATGCTATGCGTTAACACAGTGCTAATCCCGCTCCATCATAAGATTGTCGTGAGATGCGCGCTACGGAAAGACCGACGACCTTTCGCACTAGCCTGCACAGGTGCGTACTGCGCAGCGTGTCAACATTGCACGTCTGAACGGATCATAGAGGTTTCGACGAACAATAATGGTCTTCTTTCTTGATGAGTGATTTTGGTTTCTTCATTACTATCGTAAGTGCTGACGCCGAGCAATTGTGGACAGTTGCAATCTACCGTGCTGCATGGAAGCGATCATGCAGGTGTTGTGTAACACATGCAATTCGGCCGAATGATGTCCCGAAACGCAGTGACATAAGTGAACAATCTGCTTTGTATACTACAGAGTGTCCGATAATCGTACTCAAGTAGGATTAGACCATGGTGTATGGGGCTTTCACGTAGTATCATGACACGCAGCCTTGCGTTACCCAACGGTGATAACAGTTAACTCCGAACATCCATCAAACAGGGTATCGAACTTCCGGCCGTGACGCTCTCGTCTCATCTGAACAATTTTTTTGAAAGGTTATAAGAACATTCCAGGTCTTAACGCCGAAGGTAACCTTGGAATGTAAAATGGCCTCTGACCCGGTCCCACCCGGGCGGTGTAGACGTGTGCGAATGGATAAAGTATCCACAGAAAGGTGTCGTAGAACATTAAATGTAGTGCCGATAAACTCATCTTAACGTTGTGGTATTCGAATAGACTGGCGAGGGATGTACGACTATCGATGGGTGGGCGCATTGACACTCTGGCGACGCTGGCCGAGCAATATATGTGCTTGAATACAAGCTCGGGGATTGAACTGATATCTCTCTTGTCGCTTGCTTGATAGCACCCTTTTCCGCGTCGTCAATCTCTACACTCTTCTTCTCCATCTCTTCTGGTGCCATGAGGCCAGTGTTCTTCTTTTGCTTCATACGCTTTGGTATGTCCAAGATGAGAGACGTAACGACAATGAGGGCTAGCAGGCCTGCTACACCACCGACAGCGATGATGGCGACGACACTGGTGGAAAGACCGCCGAGTTTACCTGACGGTCCTGACATTGCGATCGAAAGATGGTGGTTGGCGTTGGCTGAGATGTGGTTGACCGATGCTGTAGAGGGCGGTGACAATGATTGGAAGAGGTTTGTATGGATGTACGTCAACGTGTTATGCCGTTCAGCTAATTGCGATAGACTAAAACGAGTGTGAGCGTATTTGTAGCGCCTGGAGGATGCAGTTACACCTCAACACCATCGCGGCGCATCAGTCTCCTTATACAAACCATCACACCACCTTGTCATCTATTTCCCCAAGCAAAGAAGCGAGCACAGTTTCCCATGTCGAGCCATTCTAGCCTTCCAAAAATCCACATTGTGCTGAAACTTCAGCTGGTGGCTTGTTCATCGAACAAATGCAGCAACGCTACAACTTTCCCGAGGCCAGCAACGCAAGCCACGAGACTTGGCATCATGGGCCTGGTGTTTTGTCTAGTCAGCGGATGAGCTTCCGTGCGAGTGAGAATAGTCGAATATCCCAAGCGGCACTCTTCGCTGCGTGGGCTGATTTGCTCAGGGGTGCTAGGGCTGAACGCTAACGCGATGAGGTGTTTTGGGCTTGATGGCTGTATCGAATTCAGAGCGCTTTCATTTTCACCGGATGAGTTGCGCTCGAAGCGAGAGATGTGTTGTGCAGCGCATCGGCTAGCGGCACCTCAGACCGGTACCTGGCGAGATCCTTCATGTTTTCTTTTATAAAAGCTCTTTTGGTCAATCTAGAAGTTCCATGGCGTCCTGTGGTGGCGTGCTGGCCAGCGCAGCGCTCAGGTATGTGTAGAACAAGGACTCGAACTCATATGCAAGCGATGACAGAACAGCAGGACTGACCAGTGCGTTGTTTTGTCCACGCGCCGATGTTGTTATGAGAAGTTTGTCGGCGCGGCCGAGATGCCGCTGAAGGATTGATGAGTGACAGCTAGCAGCCACTTAGCGTCGTTAGCGCCTACCTGACTCCACGTTTTTCGGTTGCAGCCGCGGCAGTGTTCAGCTGGGACATGGGCTTCGCTTCACACAGTCACAACGTGGAAGAACGTGGAGATTTGCACCATCATTACTCGCACGTTGACCCTGCTACCAGATCTACGGGCTCCCGGTACTTTTGAGGTTGCTGCTTTCCTCGCCAGGAAAGCGAGCTCGAGCCCATGAGACAGACTTTCGGCTTCACACAGCAAGAGATTGCGCCGACAGAGGTTCATACTACTGACATACTATCGCGAAGCCGCTGTCGCACACCAGTACGCGACACACAACATGCGCCGCCAAACGTTCGGATGCTACTCGATCGTCGATCGTTGGTATCGTTCTCGGAGCTGGCACCCGCGCCTTGCGATTTAACGAAGCGTCATTGTAGTCAGCTTCTCGGCATGTAAGCGATGGGCATACCTCCTCCAGGCCTAGAATCGTGGGATTCTTTTGAAGGATGCCACTGTACGGTGTAAGCCATGCAAGAGACAGGAAACATGTAGCCGTCTTTTGCCAGTTATTGCTCAGGACCGCCACGCATTTCTTTTCCCACCTGGCTAGGCTTTTTCTACCCCGCAATCTCGCCAGCTTCTGCTTACTCCCCAGATGGAGACAGGTAATAATAATTAAGGATGGCCATGACTGCAGGTCCGACATTCTTTATTGAGTACAACCAAGCCCAGCTGCGAACATGTCCTGGTAGAAGCGAAATTTTCAATTGCCGAGCTAGGGGCAACAACATGACTGTCTGCTCTAACTCTTTTGGAGAGTTCTTTCAATGCGATATTGACAAAATTGAAGGTGTATCAGTCCTGCGGACGCCTCTTCATACCTTGTTGAATCGTGGAGGGGCTACTTCCGCTCAGATCGAGAACTTGAGCCCAGAGAAAGTTGTGAGCAAAGAGGGAAGACGAGTCTTTTGTTTTGGCCTGTTCTGGCAGCTCATGACCCAAATCACGAATTGAAGCAAAAGTTTTGAGTCCGTATCTAACAATCCAGTGGCACACGACTGTCAGCTCAATATTGTAGCGACCTTTGATCTCAAGTTATTGACACGCCTAGGGAATATTATGGAAAGATGTGTCCGGCTCCATGCTCAGTAAGGTGTTCAATTTAGGGAATGAGCCAGCCTGTTCAAAGTTGTAGGACGCTTAGATATGCGACTGTGATTTTGGACGTTTGAACAGGGATAACACAGCCCAAGCCTCTGGATCATACGCCAGCGTATCTCGCGTTTTAGTAAAGCTCGTCAGCCCAATTAGAGCACACCAGGCAAAAAAATGAGGAACGGCTCTCTTCAAAGAAAGTGCCTGTGTTCCCTCAATCGAAGAAGCGGCAGGATCCACCATTCATCTAAACTGCTTATGTTTTGAGAGACCGCACATGACGTGTTGGTAAAGAGGTTTTGACTTTCTTCGAGATATGAAGTGAGAAGTGTTGAAGTTTTGTATCGCGCAAAGAGTCATACATATGTTTGAACACTTTTCCGGTTCCGAAGCACACATGTCGGGTATGACGATAGTTTTTGGAGGGTTGCGGGACAACAGGAGAACCATAAGGTCAGTCTCATCATCTTTGAGAGAAGAAGCGCCATGCTATCTCTTATGGCTTTTTAGAAAAAAGATTCCCGAGGAAGCAGACATCCAGCGAACCTCATCAGTTTCTGGATACCCATAGACGACGAGGATGATGGTATAAGTTGGGTATCGAGCAGGCAGACGACTTATATATCACTCACACCACACTCTATTCCTCTTCGGATATAGTTCAAGATCGTCCTTCGGAAATAGCTGCCAGCTTTGACATGAATCATGAAACCTTGCGAAGACCGCGACAGGCAACAAAGACCATAGATTCGAAAGCCAGGTGTTTTGACATTTGCATCAAAATTTGCATCGGTCTTCTGAGAACATGCCGAGGCATCCATAAATCGGAGGAGGTATTTTGATTCGCTTTTGAGCAACGGTAGGCGATGGGAGATAACAGATGAAGTGTATCTGGAATTCGACGTTTCGCACCACGAAAGAGAGGGAGACAGGGCAGACATGGTCATCAGCTTTCGGTCTTCGAAAAGGACAGTCCACGAAATCCATCACTTTGTCGCATGGATTTTTGATGCTTGAAGACTGTCAAGAACGGCGAGACAGTCGATCGGCATGGCCGAGTTTGCTGTAAATTTCATTCCAGCCCAAGTAGAAGCCAGAGAAACCCAAATCGATACATTATTAGAATTGAAGATCTTTGAGAGGATCGTACAGCTACTCGTGTTCGACTTCCTGAAAGAAGGGAAGAGGGACATGCATGCGTGATATGTGGCTTTTTGTGAGGCGCGCACAGAAAAACAGACCGACGCCTAGGCCGCCTTTTGGAATATTGAGCGCGTGGATGAGAAGCCATCATGCAGAAAACGAATATATTTTGGAAAGAACAGGATATTTCGCCGACATGTGAAGGTCTGCATGCCTTTTGTTCATGAAGATGGTGAAATAAGGTAATTGAAGCAGAAGAGCACAAATAATAGATTTATATAGACGTGGACAGAGTCGGGCTAGCACAAGCACGTGAAAAGATGGCCCAACAAACAGTCTCTTAGCTAGCGGTCATCAAGACGCTCACCAAACAGAGATAAATATGACACCCATATGAAAAAGCCGAGGCCCGGCACTAAATATGAGATATATCCTTGACCCAATAAGTTATGCAGCCAGTCTTCTGCTACGCCCAAACACCGCGGAAATGCAACTCTGCTGTACATATACACACATATCTTAGCCGAGCCTGTCGCTCGCGCGGTTCAATATATCAGCCGTCTTCTTGATGGCTTTGGATGCGGTATCCCAGTCTTTTTTCTCGATTGCTTCGCGTGCAAAAGGGAAGACACTGGCTTCGAGGCCATTGTTGAGGTCCGGGGCGAAGACGACGTGTTTGTATTGGTCGCGGTTGGGAAGCTGTTCATGAATTAGTCAATGATGATCTCACATATCGGTGAGGCGAGGAACTTACACCATGCGGCCCCTTGTCGTCCTTTCCCCTCGCAAGATCAAGCAAGTCTGTTTCGAAACCCGCGATCCTGCCATTGTGGCCTACCCTCTGTATTGTGACACCACTACTTTCGAAGCCGCCAGTGGCATAGACTTGGTTATACCAACTTTGTTCCCACCGACCGAACGTCTCTGCTTTCTTCTTGAACATGCTCAGACTGTCGACCAGAGGTTGGAACATCTCAATGTCGTACTCGCCACCACCGCTCTTCTTCTCGGTCCAGTCCAACAACTGCTGGCCTTCTTCCTGCAGAGCGCGGGCGTAGTCATCAATCTTCATAGGAATGATGGGCTCTTGAGCAAGCTCGAGGATGAGAAGAACCCAGAGCTGGGCGAGCACGGCGTGGTAAGCGAAACCGGGGTCAATGTATTTGCGCATCCAAGAGAGAGTCTCGTAGCAGCTGCGCGCAATGGGGTTTGATTGACCCTCTTTGCTGGTGAAGCCGAAGTCGAGTGAGGAGGTACCAGCGATGGATTGGAAAGCAACGTAGTCGCTTCCAGCAGCTAGATTACCAATTTTGGAGTCCGAGGTCTCCCACAGCTCCTTCATAGTCTTATTCTCCCGGGGGTCGGAAAGTCGGTCGAGCACGCGCGTCCAGGCGTGTTGGAAGATCGGAGAGCCTTTGGCCCACAGCTTGTCACCCGTTACACCGACGTCGACATTCAGGTAGGCGATGGCGCTATCTCGGAGGGCTTGTACGTTGGCTTCAACATGCTCGGTAGAGCCGATTCTGTTGTATTCCCCAGCGTCCCAGGACGCAAATTCGATTGTGCGGAGCGGTCGCCATCCTTGAGAGCGCAACTCTCCAAGTACACGTACAACTTCGAGCATGACAGCCGTGCCAGAGCCAGGGTCTGCTGCACCGAAACACCAGGAATCGCGGTGGTTGCCGATTATGATCTTGCTAGCCGGATCTTCGCTGCCCTTGAGAGACCCGAAAACGTTAGTGATCCGCTGTTGTTCGACCTCATCCTGGTCGTTTTGCAGAAACACCTTTGGCGAAGTCTTTGGATGACCAGAATACCAGTGCTCGCCAACTTCCGGTACACCACCAATCCATTCATCTGGCAATTGCTCGCCTGAGCCTTTGAGCGACTTGAGCAGCTTCTGCGCATCCTTCCACGAGAGCGGTAGACTTGGGATTTTTGGCAAGGCCGGGTTCTTGTCTCGGGGCATGCGCTCCACCTTCTTGAAGCTCGGCAGTCCAGGCGTGAGCACATCTCCCATAATCATGTTTGTCTGTGCGACGGATCCTCGCTGCACACTGTCTCCAGGCCGCCACTTGCCATCTGGCCAGGGGTTCCCCTTCTTGAAGCCGTCATCTGCTGGATCTGAATATACCAAGACACCCACAACCCCAGCATCTTGCGCAGCCCTGATCTTCATTGATAGATCTGGCTGTGTTCCGTAATATCGGCAGAGCGCAATCGCACCTTGTACGTCCACCCCGCTATCCCATAATCGCTTGAAGTCTTTCTTGTCGCAGTAGTTGACGTATATCAAAGGCCCGGTGGCGTTTCCCGTCGCAGATAGGCCATGATAGGCGGGCGTTTGCGCTTTGGCAGGATTGAAGACGGACGGCTCTTCGAGTTTGGCCTCCCACTTCTTATCCTGTGGCTCGACGATGGCGACCCTCCGTCCGCCCTTCTTCGCGTAGTTCATGTATACGTAGTACCTGCACTAGTTAGCGTGATCCTTTGTGACGTCTCACAATGTGTAACGTACTCGTCGTGGGTATATGTGTCCATGTGCGCATCCTTGAACTTGCCCTCGATCCACTGCCCCAGCACATAACTCCCCTCGGTGCCCCCGATGTGGTCGTAGCTTGTAATGTATTCCAGATTCTTCTCAATCCGCCAGCTCTCGACGCTCTCCATAGCCGTCGAACGCACCCACTCGGGGTTGAATGGCGTGCCGAATCCTCCGCCCATGGGCACCACCTCGCTGACGACCAGCAGGTATACCAGGACGATGATCAGTATGAGACCGAACAATCGCGCGATAATCGACCATCCCGGCTTGTATTCTTCTGGTATCGTCGGTATGTGGTCCGTCATGGCGCTGAAGTTGGGACGCCAGCTGGGCCAGGGTATTCGCGGCATATTCCAACTCGATAGGGAATGTCTGATGCTGTAGAAGCGTTTCGAGAACCTGCCTCTTGATCGATTCCGCCTCGAGCGCCCCTCCTCAGCAGACTCTGGATCTAGAATGTCCATCTCCTCCATGGTCTGGCGCAGGTCCTCGTCCTGGCTCTCTCGCACCGGACTCCCGAGATCCGAGTCGCCATCGTCGTCGACCGACTGTACCGAGGGGGCCTGGTAGTATCCATTGCGCCTGCGCGGGTCGGCTTGTATGCGCACATCCGGGCTCAGGAGGCCTTGCCGCTCGGCATCGTCGCTGGTCTCGTTGGGTCCGAGGCGCGCAGGGGCGTTGCGCGAGGAAGTTGCCTCGTCGTATGTGGGGATGGGTGGCGGAGATGGCTCGCGGACGTAGCCATGTTTCTCGTCGCTCATGGCGAGCTAAAACCACGTGAGGGTGTCGTCGTCCACGTGGTGCGCGGTGTCGTGGTAAGGGATGCTCGCTCGCCCGCGGCGAATAGTCCGCAGGAAGCGAATGCTGCGTACGCGTATGCTTTGAATGGTAATTGGGTGGATGGGCTATCGATTGGGCATGTACATGGTGGACGGGTATAAGGAACGACGACAACTATATCAATACAGGCAAGAAGAAGGCGGACGAGGGGCTGCGTCTTGTCGGATGCAGGTGGCTGATGTGCATCCAGCATCTGGGGATGGCGGAGCGGAACATGGGTGCCGAGACCCTGTCCAAGATCTTGGTAGTTGAAACCATAGCTGACCATCTTTGCGACTCCATCACCACGGCATGTGTTTGAGCTTGCAAGGAAGTTTGTCAATTGTCGCACGAGGCATACACTTTTCTACATGCCGCGCCCTCCGGTCACTTTGATCGTCTCTCCGTTTACATAGCTGAACAGCGGACTCGCAACCGCCAACACGGCACTCGCGGCCTCGGTCGCCGTGCCTGGTCTCCTCAAGGGAATGTCCATGTGCTCCTGGCCCTGCCCTGCGCCTGCCTTTTGCGCCTGCGGTATCCCCAGCGCTACCTTCTCGCCGTCGGGCGTGGTAATGAATGCGCCAGCCTCCTTCGCCGCCGTCAACCGTGTCTGGATGTGTCCAAAGGCTACTGTGTTGGAGCGCACGCCGAATTGAGGGCCCCATCTGAAGATACGTTAGAGGGAAATACATTCGAGGGAGAGGGGGGAGACGTACTCTTTCGCAATGGTCTTGGTCATGCCGGTTACACCCGCCTTCGCCAGCGCGTAGTTGATTTGTCCAGCATTGCCGTTCACACCACTTGTGCTGGAAATGTTGATGATATTCCTCGGCTCGCCGTCCTTGACTCTGAAGTATGGCGCCGCAGCCCTCACAATCTTGAAAGGCGCTGTCGCGTGCAGGTCGACAATCGTGTGCCATTGCTTGTCCGTCATCTTGTGTATGACGCCATCCCATGTGTAGCCGGCATTGTTCACGATGATGTGGATCTTGCCGCCTCCGAACTCAGCAGCCTTTGCAATAAGCGTCTTGATGTAGGCGTCGTCGAGCACATCGCCTGCGACAGCCAGGGCGCTGCCACCAGACTCGTTGATCTCCGCAGCTACCGATTCTGCCTTCTCTACACTATCATCAGCCCGTGTTTGCATGCAGCGACTGCATTGACTTACTGGCATCTACATCGGCAACTACGACCTTCGCTCCTTCCTTCGCAAACAGCTTCGCAGCCTCGGCGCCGATTCCCTGACCTGAACCAGTGATAATGGCGGTTTGGCCAGCCAACATACCCTTGGGGTAGTTGAGATGGCCTGCAATCTGATCGATGCGCTTGGAGGAAGACATTATACTCAAAATATTGCGTTCACTTGGAAAATAAACCAGGGATTTTAATCTTCTAGCTGAGAAGACACCTCAAGGTTAATGGGCGCTCCTTCGTGAAATGCGGAGTAACTCAACCGCAACGGCCGACATCATCACTGACCATGCCGAGGTTCATGCCGTTAGCGCGTTTTGCCAGACGCGCCTTCCTAGGCATCTAGGTTCGGCTGACTCGACTCAAGACACCACACCAAACAACATGTCACGAAGAAGCATCGACTGCTGGAGAGGTCAAGTATCATTTGATTGGCCTAAGGCTTCCTGCTGTTCTCCAGCCGCACATATGCTTGCTCAATTTCCTCCGAATAGTCCTGCTCAACAGCCTTCCTCTGGACCAACTGCTTCAAGCTGACCTTGAGCGGCTTCTCTTTCTTCGCAATCATAACCGTTTCCCTAGGAATTCTGATCTCATTCAGATCAGCCTTATTGGTGGCAGCAACCACGCCATCATAAAGCTCATCAAGTAGCTGCACCTCGCTCTTTCCGTCCAGCACACCTTCCTTTGCCTGAACGATAACATACGGCGCAGGCCGGGCTTCCCCACCTACCAGCACATTCTGTACGTCTGGGTGTTGCAGAATACGTCTTTCAATATCCTGCGCATGGAACTTTGCCAGCCAACTCAGCTTCGTCAAGTCGTCTTTGCGGGCAGAAAACGCCCACCGCGTGCGGCCATCGGAGTCCTTGATGGGCCTGTAGAGCTCCTTCGTTTCGATCCGCTCCAGGAAACGATGTGCTGTGTTCCAGAAGCTTGTTTGAAAAGGATTAGTACGCCCATCTCCAACCTGCTCCAATATGAGTTCGTGGAGATCGTCCGAGCCTGCGTCCAAAGGCACCATCCTATGACCATTTTCTGGAACAAAGTCATGGGTATACCAGAGCTTTCTATCGACTGGTCGAAGGCCAATCTGATCTCCATTTTCCGTGGAGCCAATCATCGGGCTCAATCTTGTATGCTGACAAAGGTCGTCTCCAATCGCTCGATCCAAGGGTGCACCAGTATACACAATGAAGTCCAGTGACTTCAGCATTTGTCGAGTTTCTGGGTCCGCGTAGAGGCTGTTAATAGTGAATGGGGGGCATCTAATGCCTTCAATTCTGTTCATCAAAATGATCTTCTTGAACAGGTTGGGAGTCAGGGAAACTTCGTCCCGGGGCATCATGACGCAGGGACTGTCCAGGAAAAGCGGGCTCAAAACCATCGCATGTAAGCCGGCTATCCATTGCGGTGGACATGGATTGAGAGACGTCTTCCCGATCCAGCTTTCGTACTCAATGCCGCGGGGCCAGTGTCTTCGACTCAGTATGGGCATATTCCCTAATCCGCTCCACATGCCATTTGTGTGAAAAATAGGCTTGGGTTCGCCTAAAGAGAAGTGAGCTTGTGAGATAACAGATCGTTTCAGACAGATTACCAGTAGTGCCTGATGTATGGATGATGACGATTTCATCCCATTTGGCCTCTCCAAACGTTTTGTCATATGGATACCGTTTTTGCCCTTCATTGTCAAGCATCCATTCAAGCGACGGCAAAGCACATAGCTTCAAGCCTGACTCTATGTCGACCAACGGCCCTGCGGCATCGTCTTCTGGATAGAGCCATACTTTGCAACTACTTGCTGCAATCAAGCCCGCAAGCCCCTCTTTGGTCACCCGTCCATCGGGAATTAGCAAATACGGAGGCTGTTAGCCGTGAGGTCACACCGAACGACTTGACACTTACTTTCCGTCCATGCTTTACAACAGATGGTATCAAGATGGCATACCGTGGATCGTTGGGCCCGAAATAAGCAACCGTCTCGCAATCCACTGCTTTACCAAGCCGCTCGTCAAACCAGAAAGCCATCTTATCGATGGCACTTGCGTATTGCTTCCATGTAATCGTTTTGTAACCCCTGTGTAACCAGTCATCCGGCGCGTAACGCATGTACATGTTGTTCGGTATCCATTGCGCTTTCTCCTCGATGGCGTGCACGAAGAGTTGACCCTGGGGGTACTCTAACTTGTTCTCTGCTGTGATAGTCATCTTGGAATGTGAAACTGAGGGCTTGACAAACAAAGGGACGTAGCAAGGCTGCTGTGATAGCCAATGAAAGTTGTCCTCTATTGCTCGCCCGATACTGTCTTTATGTACACTTGTTTTTTAATCGTGTCGGCCAGGTATACATGAATTCTCCCGCTGTACGCACGTAAGGAAGCCGCCAGTCTGGCTCGGTCAACTATCTGATACACGTCCAAACAATCGCATACTTCATCGATCGGCCCGTTGCCAACAAAGCTCCATGTCTTTCCCCATTCGGCTAGTGCTTAGCTCATCAGCAACACGCGTCTTAGCATACAACCTTAAGTGCCGGCCTGAAGCTTGTATTCAATTGGATTTAGTTGCGAAGGTCATGCCGCCCCGCTAGGATATCGAATGTGAACAATGGGCCTAGGAGTCAAGCTCCTTGACGCGCGACTCATACACTAACGTGTCTGGGTGTAAGGCGGATTTAACGAAGAGACTGAATCCATCAAAACAATATGAAAGCAATTTTAGCCAATGCAGTGGGTAGTTCTAGTGACGGCGATCCGAAGGGCGACTCGCAGCTCACCAATACATTTCTCTCTTTCACATGCCGCACTATGTGTGGCCACGATCCATGCCTCAATTTATGCGAAGGTTTTTAGATAAAAGCTTGTCATGTCTTAGCGACTGATTAGTTATTTGTCGCAGAGGAAAAAGACTAATCTCCAGCCTCTGCGGCGAGATAGTATACACACTCCGACATTATTGTTTTCTAATCATATCTGCAGCAAAGCATCACCCAGAGTATTGCTATCCTATATGCCAGAAATCAACTATGCATATTTAGTTGCCATGTCACACAGCTGGTGCATGTCAGGTGGCAATGTCGAACCCGGCTCTGGCATTGTATTGGCTTTATACTACAGGGGCATAGAGAATTCCATTCCATCTCATCGAGGAATCGTTCATCAAACAGGCCTTAGACCTTGGTCTCCACGCTCACATTACCGATCTTCTTCTCTTCGCGGTACTGCTCTTCCGCAATCACATCAGCGGGGATGCGATCTGGCGTCTGGTTCACCAGTAACAGCATCGGACCTAGCGCAAGTGCCATCAAGCCAAAAGTGACGCAGAAGCCGATGAGAGGGGATGTCTTGATTTGGGTGTTCATTCCGTAGGAGATGGCTTGTCCGATGGCCTCAAGACAGCGGAAAGCTGCACCATTACGCACGTTTGCTGTATATCATCAGCGATGAATCAAGAAGACTTGCCGAATTAGGAGACATACCTTGAGCGTCTGTTGCGAAAGAAGAGAGTAGCCAGTACATGTAAGATTGCGACAGAGGACCAGTCGTCTGCACAAAGAAGTATGGCAAAAAAGAACGCGCATACAGCGAGTCATCCCAGTCGATCTTGCCTGGGTCATTACTGTTGAATCCGACTTGCATGACGATTGACCAGATGTAGACACCAAGGTTGAGAAGCACGACGGTAAAGAGACCGATTTGTGCACGACGACGTTGGCTGACACCCTTGAGATCGAGGATGAATCCGAGACCAAAACAACCGACAATACAGAAGAAGGGCGAGATGAGGGAGGAGAGAGCGCGGGCGCGGACGCTAAAGTAGGTTCCAAGATAGGTCGACCATGTCCCACTAATAACTGATTAGCTGCCGCCCCTTTATGATCGTGTGTTGACTGACCTGTAGAAGAACGACCATATGGCCCAAAATGCGGAAAGCAAGATAAGCTTCGACGTCATCGTGATCTTAATCTGCTTGAACTCCATAATGGTGCCGATCTTTTCAGAGACGAGGATACGCGTTCCGTCTGAGCGTACAACTCGTTCAAGAGGTGAGATGAGGAAGGCGAATGGCAAGGCCATACATTCAATGATCAAAAAGGCGACGTAGGTATCTGGCGTGACTCCGCCGACGACTCCCTTCTCGTGGTTCTTGGACAGACTGGGACACAAATTTTAGCTGCTGCGAAGTGGGCTTCAGTCTACAAAACTCACTTGATAGCACCGCCGACAAGCTGTCCTAAGTTTCTGGCAACGATCCAAAGTGCCAGGTACTTGCCACGAGATCCAGCCGGCGCGAGTGACATTATAGTTCCGGATTCTGCAACATACCAAGTGCCAGTTCCAATTCCTGTGAAGAAGCCGCCCAAGATCAAGTACCATTGGTTTCCGAACTTGGAGTTGCAGTAGTAGGAAGAGCCGCGGATTGGGAACGAGCAGGCGCCGATGACCAAAGCCCATTTCGTTCCGAGCTTGTTGACGATGGGCCCTCCGAGAGCACAACAGACAGCAAGCATGGTGTAGTTGACAGCGGTCGCGATGTTCGAGGTTTGCGGAGTAGCGAGACCACCTCCGCCGAGACCTGCAGACTTATCAATACGATGTACTGTGTTATGAGTTCAAAGAAGGCTTACCAGCAATAGCATCAGCCATTGCAGGACCGCAGAAAGCCTGCACACTGAGTAGCAGCATCTGCGTCAAGCTGTGCTGCCATATCCTTTTCCATTTTGGAACCGTCCTGGCATACTCTTCCATGTTGATTCTCTCGTCGGCGACATCGTATGTTGGAGGAGCGTTGAGCGGGTCGTTGCCCTTTGTACGGAGCGCATCGTCGTCGCCGCCGGCATGTGTGTTGGGAGGAGCAGCGTCGAACTTGGACATCTTGAAATACTCCTACTGGGAAGACCAAAAACGATACGGAGCAGATGCGACTGAGCTTCGAGCTGAGGCGAGATCAAAGGCATCGCACGCGACCTTTATATACACCATGTCCCTCCCGCACACATCTACCTCCTACCGTCTGTCCGCGCGACCAGCATCGGCTTATCTGTGGATTCCGGAACTATGTTACCCCAAGCTGGGGTAAACGAGTCGTTCCCGTCCAGCTGATAGGGACTTGTGGAGTCAATCGCTCCGGTGATAGACCGGTTTCCGAGGGAAAGGGCAGTTTAGATGAGAGTGTAGACTAGGCTGGATATGGAAGTGCGAACAGTTTGGAAAAGTGGAGGTTGGAAACTAACGTGATTACGGGAAAGTAAGCTTGCGCTAGACATGGTTGCGAGGCTTGGATGTCGGGTCGATGCAAAGCGTGAGTCAGCTATTCAGGTGCTCCGCGGGTTGAGGGCGACTTTTATAGAAAAGAGGTTTGTTGATATCGCCCTTTGGCTGCATAGACCCAGTTTCGTTATCGCAATGTCAAGCATGGAAGGTTATGGCCCTGCTTCATGCTCAAACCGGGCAGAATCGGAGAGACCGCCCTTGCTTGACGCATCGCTGACGTCCGCCAGCCTAACCCCGTTTGGAAGGGGTAACAGTCGGGATCGCCAAGCGAGAACGGCCGCGATACTTGGGACGGCAGGCCTCAATTACTCAATCAAAACCTCGCGTGCTCGCATCTGGCGCGTGGAGAATGCGTCGCCATCGTGTCACCGTGCTGGTGGCGTGTGCAGCCTCTAAGGATACTTAACCGGCGGGATTACATCGTGGGTCGGTACTGATAACGACTTCCGGCAGCGCTCCTCCCCATTCCAACACGCGAGCCATTGCAAGCGCGATAGGCTTTGATAGTTCAGCATGGCACCGTCGAGAGAGGCTACGTCTGTCGTTGTTGTCGGAGGTGGTGGGACGATCGGGTCGTCGACAGCCCTACATCTAGTACGCTCAGGATACAACCCATCCAACATCACAGTGCTGGACACGTACCCAATACCATCATCACAATCAGCTGGAAATGACTTGAACAAGATCATGGGGATCCGCCTGCGGAACAAAGTGGACCTGCAGTTGAGCCTGGAGGCGAGACAGATGTGGAAAGAAGATGATCTATTCAAAGAGTATTTTCACAACACCGGACGAGTGAGTATTCCAAGCGTAACCTAGTAAGAAACATTTCTAGAGACTGATGGTATTCTCAGCTTGACTGCGCCCACAGTGAAAAGGGTCTCGCGGACCTGAAGCAAGCTCATCAGGCTCTTCTCGACGCGGGTGCTGGCCTAGAGACGACAACAGAATGGCTAGACTCGGAAGACGAGATCTTGAAGAAGATGCCACTACTAGATCGCGAACAGATCAAAGGTTGGAAAGCTGTCTATAGCGATGACGGCGGCTGGCTTGCTGCAGCAAAGGCCATCGATGGGATTGGTGGCTATTTGCGCGATCAAGGTGTCAAATTCGGCTTCGGTGGAGCAGGGTCATTCAAGCAGCCTCTTCTGGCTGAAGGAGTATGTATCGGTGTTGAAACAGTTGACGGGACGCGGTATTACGCCGACAAGGTGGTTTTGGCAGCCGGTGCATGGAGCCCCGTGCTAGTCGATCTGCAAGAACAGTGTGTCTCGAAGGTATGTCCTTTCAGTTTAGCTACATGATTTCGCATTAACGTCTTCAGGCATGGGTATATGCCCACATTCAACTCTCTCCCAGCGAAGCTGCAGAATACAAAAACGTCCCCGTAGTCTACAACGGTGACGTGGGCTTCTTCTTCGAGCCTGACGAACACGGCGTCATAAAAGTCTGCGACGAATTTCCAGGATTCACACGCTTCAAGCAACATCAGCCTTTTGGGGCATCGGAACCAAAGCGCATCTCGGTACCTAGATCCGCAGCGAAGCATCCCACAGATACCTATCCGGATGCCTCCGAGGCCAGCATCCGCAAGGCTATTGCGACCTTCCTGCCAAAATTCACAGAGAAGGAATTATTCAACAGACATTTGTGTTGGTGTACAGACACGGCGGATGCGGCACTTTTGATGTGCGAACATCCTGAGTGGAAGAACTTCGTGCTTGCTACCGGAGATAGCGGGTGAGTTTCGGCCTCGTTACGAATGTCGCATGGATGAGTTACTGACTTGAAGTGTAGCCACACCTTCAAGCTACTTCCAAACATCGGTAAGCATGTGGTCGAGTTACTCGAAGGTACGCTGGCAGACGACCTCGCGCAAGCATGGAGATGGCGTCCCGGTACTGGTGATGCGCTGAAGTCGAGAAGGGCGGCGCGTGCGAAGGACCTCGCAGACATGCCAGGATGGAATCATGACGGTGAGACGCCTAGATCCAAACTGTAGTGCTCTCGCAAATGGAGATGGATGGCGATGTAGTCTGATTCGGAAGGTGGTATTAATCTGGTGCGCATCCTTCTGCGTATCTCCACACGTGCCTTATCTCCGGAAGGCTTGACTCAGACAAGGCGATAGAGTCATCTTCAACACTCACCTTATCTTCACCAGCTTCTGCCTAATCGTGATGGAATTGAATAAAGGCCCTCGTGGTTCAACTGGCATTCCAAACATCTGCAGTCTTCTAACCAACACCCATCAAGCTCAAGATGGCTACCGAACTCGACGCCGCCTATATTGCTCGTCTTTCCTTACACGATCCTCATAACTTCAGCATTCAGCACGCCCAAACCCTCCATCGTATAAGGCTCCTACAGCAATGGAACATCCTTACTAGCACAAAGGTGCTGGAATTAGGGTGCGGGCAGGGAGACTGTACGACTGTCCTTGCTTGTGCTGTTGGTGAGCAAGGGAGCGTAGTTGCCGTCGATCCAGCAGACTTGGGTTATGGTAGGTCCTTCCGAACTGTTTTTGTTTCTTGCTTTCCTGGCAGGCGTATAGAAGCAGTGAGTTTATGACCCCTCAGGTTCTCCGTATACTCTCGGCCAAGCACAAGATCACATCTCACAAGGACCGCTCGGGAAGCAAATTACGTGGATTCAACAATCCCCTCTGGAATACCTCTCTTCCCTCCCCATACCGTCTTCTATCTCTTCGGCACCCACCAGCAGCGAGAAGGCTTTCGACGCGACAGTGCTCGCCCACTGTCTATGGTACTTCCCGACTCCCTCGCTTGTCCTCTCCACTTTCCGTGCCATCAGACAGCACAGCAAGCGTCTTCTTCTTGCTGAGTGGTCGCTGGTAGCGATACATCCCTCTGCCCAGCCTCATGTACTAGCAGCGCTTACGCAGGCAGCGTTGGAGTGCCGTAAATCCAAGAGCATCTCGAATGTTCGTACCATCTTGGGCCCAAAACGACTCATCGAGCTGGCTTTAGCTGCCGGGTGGCAGCTGGAGAACGAGACCCGCGTGCAGAATGAAGAGGGACTGATGGACGGACAATGGGAAGTTTCTGCTTGTCTCTCCCCTTCTTTTGAGAGAGAAGTAAAGGAGAATGTGAGGGACGAGAGGGAGCGGGGAGTAATTCTTGCATTGCGAGATGCATGTGAGGCAAGCCTAGAAGGAATCCGGGGGGGTAGAAAGGGAGTCAGGGCGATGGACGTCTGGGTTGCTAGCTTTGTCTGATCTAGCGGACTGAGCACATGGTCGAAAGCAAGCCATACCCCATTACCAGTTGCCGTCTAATCTATATGATATTCCCCGTGATACATGTACCTTCAGGCACAAGGTCTAACTTAGAGAATATGTTGAAGGCAGGTGAAGCTAGTGACGACAGACAGATAGAGTCAAAATTTGTAACTGCTGCCAGGACGTACCTATAAGTTACACGCTTGTTCTAGCAGACTCACCGGCCTTGCGAGAATCTCGCATGACAAAATCGAGATTCTTTCGCTTGATTCGCAGTGTCTGGGATGAAGTATGAGCATGTCAGGATCCCTCGGTGTTGAGACAGCCCTGGAGCGGCTTCCTGCTGCATTCCGGCTAGTCCCGAAGGAGGCTTACAGCGCCTACGTCATCACGAATTGGAGACACCGACGCGACTCCACTAAATCCTCATGCGACCAGCCTCGAGCAGGATTCTTGTGAGCCCGCACCGACAATGCGCCGTTGCATCCATGGATGCTCTGACCTTGTCCATCCGCGCGCAAAGGGCTGGCCTAACCACTGCGCATCGCAACACGCCGTCGAAAACGTCCCAACCATCATCGGACGCTACCTAGGTACCAACGCGGAACCGGGATAGCTACGCTTGCCTATAGTGGACCTACTGTAGCCATCGCGTGAGCGCGCCTGCCTTTGCGACAACGACTCTGGACCCCGACATGGCGCAACAATTCCTTGCTGACCGCAATGGCTGGCTGTCGTTCCGGAGCAGCACGCCCGTACTGTACATCACAGCCGAAGACGCCGAGTTCGACATCGAGACTATGAAGGCATGGCGCGACGAGGGCTTCATCGTCGAATACATCCCCATGGGCAAAGGTGGCAAGCAATACGTGCAGACGCTTCACAAGCTGGGGGACAAGATGGGCATTGGGGAACGCTACGCAATCGTGGGTATACATCCCTTTCACACTCTGGCGCATGTCACGAGTATACGTACTCTGCGCCAGCACCCTCCGCATCATGTACTAACCATGCCTCTGTAGCCTTCGGTGACGCTGCAGCCGTATGTCTAGACGTCTACTCAGAACCCAAGACTGCCACCTCGAAACTCTGCTCCCTCATCGCCTACTACCCGTCCTCCATTCCCGATACGCGCCACCGCTTCACGTCGTCCTTTCGCGTGCTCGTGCATCTAGCCGAGGGAACATCCGGAAACGACATCACCGTTGGCGTGACGCGTCGCCCCGAAGTTCTTGGCATACAGGGCAAGCGACGAACGGTGCAGAAGCGCGTCACGCACGGCATTGGCGCGGGAGGTTTACAGGACAAGATACTGTATCCGTGCTTCACATACGAGGGCGTTGATGCAGGCTTTGCAGAGCACGATCTAGATGAATACGACGCCGTGGCCGACGCTATCGCATGGAGCAGGAGTCTGAGCACTGTTCGGAAGGGCTTCAGCGCCGAGGTGGATCTGGAGCGGGTATGGGAGGAAAACGAAGAGCGTATGCATGGCGACCTACCGCATCTATCACAAAAGCTAACACTCAACAGAAAAATATCGCGGAAAGTCGCTCGATAAGATTCTCGAAACCTACACCAAAACCCCGACACCGTACATAAACTTTACTCCGACCATGACCGGTGCAAGCGGACATCCAGACCTTAAGCGCTTCTATCGCGACTACTTTCTCAAGACAGCTCCACCATCAATGCACATGCGGCTCATCTCGCGCACAATAGGCGTCGACCGAATAGTAGACGAACTTTACATCCAGTTCAAACATACCTGCCAGATGCCCTGGATCCTTCCCGGTGTTGAACCAACGAACCAGAAGGTAGAGATAGTCGTCGTGAGCATCGTGGGATTCAGAGCTGGAAAGATATGGTGCGAGAGATTTTACTGGGACCAGGCTTCTGTGCTCTTCCAGGTCGGCCTCCTGGATCCTGAGGAGGTGCCCAAGGAGTTCAAGAAGAAAGATGATGATGAAGATGGTGGACTCGAGATGCTGCCAGTTAGTGGAAGTGAGGCAGCGAGGAAGGTTATGGATGTGGAGAGTGAGGAGTTTAATGACATGATTGATGACTGGTAACAGCAACGGACATCGCGGTGTAGTGTTGGTAATTCAATGTTGGCCGTTCTGGCTTGACCAATTCTACTTCATCTCTGTATAATAAACAGCACGATCAAGAATGGCTCTCCATGAACCCCCTCCGTCAACCTTGTCTTCATTGTAAGGCTACAGACAACGAAACGAGCAGCCGCTATATGCCCTTCTGCACGCTTTAAGGATCCTAAATAGTCGCATCATCCGATATGGCTTCAGTCTTCCTTGTACTTTTCAGCCCTGACTACCCGTTAGCACTCAGCGCTTCACACGATCAAGCTCATCTCACCTGCCATAAGATGGCCCTAGTAGAACTCATACACAGAATCATACAAGCCATTAAGTCCTGCGTTTCTAAACCGCTGAGGGGTATAGACATTCGATGGTGGCTCGCGGGTCCCATGTACACCGTCACGTATCGAGTATGTAGGCCGGGATGCCATGTCAAAGTCGTCGTCGTACGCCTCATACGAGCCATCTTGCTCGTCGTATGTACGCTGGAGGAGTTGTGCATACTCTCGATCCTGATCTTCTTGGCGTCTTCGATGGACACGAGAAGGTGTTGCTCGGTCTAGTAGTGCTTGCCAATGGCTACGGGATGAATGGCGGTCTCGTCCGTTCGTAAGCCGTTGCACATCAGTACGGCCGATTGGTTCACGGGTAGCCTGGTGAGTGTCGCCTCTATCGCTTCTCGTTCGACGTGCTGCATCGACTATCCTACGGGTATCCTGAGCCTGTGGATGAAGTTCTGGGTTTCGCTGCAGGCGCTTTCGAGGACGATTATTAGCAGACCGGTCATCTGCACCATTCCGTCGAAGTAGACCTAGCTTGACCCCAGCCTGTCCGGGTAGTCGCAGTAGAGAGGCTACAAGACGTTCCGATCGAGACACTAGCCACCTCATACGCTGATTTACTAGCACATCCCAATCGGATTGACGGGCTATAACGCGCATAACGTCTGTGGATACTTGGACTGGTCGCTGCTGGGGTTCTTGGACCGATCGCTGCTGGGGTTCCTGGCTCCATCGAACCATGCTGTCTTCTCGAATGAAGTCTGTGGGTACTTGGACCAGTCCTTGCTCGGGTTCCTGACTCCATCGAACCATGTTGTCTTCTTGAAGGAAGTCTGTCGGTACTTGGACCGGCCGCTGCTGGGGTTCTTGGCTCCATCGAACCATATTGTCCTCTCGAATGAAGTCTGCCAGTACCTCCATTGGTAGCTGTGGAATCTCTTGGCTTGTTGGAACTACAGGATCTTCTCGTACAATGCCTGTAGGTACTTCAATTGGTGGAGGTTGAACCTCTTCGCTTGCTGGGACAACAGTCTCTTCTCCATGTAGAGGCGCGCGGCAATTAGGACACAAACCATTGCCACTTTCGATCCAACGTCTTACGCAGTTTTCGCCGAAGATGTGACGGCATTCGAAAATTATAGGACGGTGATTGGCGTCGTATCCTTCCATGCATATGGCACATTCGAGAGACTCGAGGGAAGAGAGAAAGGCCTGTGCATCTGTTGGTTGCGTCATGGTGTTGGTTGAGATCACACGCAAGAGCAATGAGTGCACCCAATTGTGGAAGCGAAAGAAATGCTTGGAGGCTCGACTCTAAGTACAGCTGAGTAGCTGGGAGCTGCAGTCTCCCTCGTGCACGACCTCTTTGGCGTGGGCTTTCACTCAGCCCTGAATCACATCATAAAGCCAAACTATGTTCACTGGGACTGGCGCAAGCAGTACAACCCTTGAAGCAGTCACGATATATTCAAAGATGAGATGAATGTTGACAAATAGGTCTTTTCGAAGATCGCGAAAGGCAAGCAGAGTGATCTCTTTGTATACATTTGTGCTGAAAGAAAACTAAGAAACAGCATATCGTGAGGCGTGATGGTGATTTAAGGAATGCATCCTAGGCTATCTGGCTCGTAGTATCAGGGAGAGCTCGTGCAGCGTTATAATGAAATGACCTAAGAGACCGTAGTAACTCACCGTAGCATCGTATACGAAAGTGAAACTGACGATTGAAGAGCCCCTGATTTCCGGGCCTTACGGAGCCCCACAAACATATCGAGACTTCAACCCTGTGATCTCACATCTGCTTCGGGGCTCGGTGGCGATACGGTAGGCGAGCTAGCGTGTTCCGGTATATCGCTGCGCTCGGTCTCCATCGCCACTGGCAGCTGAACTCTCGACCCTCCTAGTTCTGTATCGTAGAAATAGGACGCCCGATTCATCGAGTTACGAGATAGGCGATTGCTTGCACGCGCCCTCCCCATAGCGATATTTCTAATAGCACCGCCAGTGGCTGCCGAGTCTATCGATAGTCGAACCTCCGCCCTGTTCCGAGCATACTGCTGCCATTCGTGCACAATACTGTGCATCGAAAGAGGGCGCGAAGACTCAGATCCGCGGCGATCTCGATGTAAGGTATCGATCAGCAATTGGTGTGTGGTAGGAGCCATACTGATTCGTTCAACAACGGTTTCGGCGTCTGATAAATTCGCTTCGCTCATGCTCAGTGGACGATTATGGAAAGTCTGCGTACTTCCCCGAAAGACGTCCCAGTAGTCGTGAGTGCCAAAGGTGTTTCCAACGAAAGCCAAGGCAGAATGACGTCTGGTAAGTGGACGATGAGACAACAGCGAATCTTCCGAAAGGTTTGCCTGCGTTCCACTATTGATCATGACTGGGTCATTGATCGGAACAGTGGACACGGCATACTGTGTTCTGAAGTCTGTTAGTTGCCTGCGGCCCCATTCCCAACGCTCTTGTGGAGATAAAGCATGGAACGCCTGAAGGTCGAGATCTTGGAGCGAAACCAGCGCATTCGTGGCGGCAGCTGATCGGTCGCGGACATTAGGAAACTCCTGAGTTGATCCGCCTTGGAGGTCGACGTGAGTCTCTGTAGACTCAGCCAGGGATTCCGAGTTTTCCACGATGGGCGCTATACCAGCCGGTAAAGATCCCCCGATTTTGCGATGGCGATCTTGGTCGGAGCTACTCTCAGGGAACCTCGTAACTGGGGGAATGGGCTTTGATTTGCGTAGTCGTGCTGTAAGCCTCATACTGAGGCGAGAGAAGGCCTGCCGACCTTTGGACCAAGCGTTTTGGCGGAATGTCGCATGCCTCTGGCCACCCGAGCGGATATGGCTGAGACCTGAAGCTTGTTCCCCATTACTGGATTCAACCGACACTGGCCCTGGGTGACTGCCGATGGATGCTGGGTGTTGCTGGGTGTCTCTCTGAGCGGTTGACCGTACAGATGTCTCCCGGGATGGACCGGCCGGTGTGCTTTCCGGTATGACGGTAAGAGTGGGAGATAGTGTGGCGATAGGAGTGGCAGACTGTATAGCCCGAACCAGAGTTTTGCGGAAATCAGCCTCAGCTGCAAGCGTCTCCGGCTCTAGACTCTTTGTAGAGAGAAGAGACAGGCGCGTGCCATTGAGTTTTCCGAAGGCCAACCACAATTTCTGGCATTTGTGGCAATACACATCACCGAATTCAGTAGAGTCGCCCGAAACCTGAACATGCACTTGTACAGATCTGTGGTGATGATGGCAGGTCGAACAGTTTCCACTGAGGTTCAGTGCCCAACGGCCTTCGGATAATCGAGGGACACTTTCGATGGAGGAAATCGTGTCGTGCCTGGTAAGCTCGACGACGGGTGCGGTTCCAGTAGTAAGCTCATCATTGGTGAACGATCCGTCTGTAACAATGTGGGCCCGAGAATCCATCTTTGGAAGAAATGTCCGGGTCGTTGCCAGGGCTAAGCGATGAACCGGCTTCCACGACTGTGTTGCCCAGAACAGTTCTTCGCCTGATGCATAGGATGATCCGGTCAGACAAATGCAGTGACCGAATTGAGCAGAGTCAGTATAGTGTAAGAGTATATCCGTGGCTCAAGGTCGAATCAGTCTAGGGTAGGCTGTATGGATAAGTTGGATGAGGCTGTGAAGTGCTGTCTTTACACATACACACGGGTGTAGCGGAGCTTTTAACAGCCAGGCATACATGTGGTTGCAAGGCAGCTACAGCCACAGATACTGTGTGCCTACTTCCAGGCACCATACATCCTGGCAAATGACTTGACGATGTGGGAAAAGTGTTGAGGTCGAACGGTGGCGCAGCACGCTTAGAGATGCTTCGCCTCATAACGAACCTATGGAGGTCGACAGAGTTGGGGCGGGAACTGCAAACTGTGACGTAGGAAACGTGTGAAATTCACCGAGAGAATACGGTGAGGCAGTCCCCATGATAGACAAAGAGCTTGCTAAAAGTGCTTTCAGAGGTCGTCCTGGATAAAATAAGCATCGAGACGATACCGAACGCGATCTCTGGTACACGCGAAGTACGACACGAAGACGTACTACGCGGAGGACTGGATGCGATTGAACGTGCTAGCCTTGAATAACAGGCAGTACTCGTGATCGAGACATAGCTATCGTCCGTTCACTGTTATGTCATGTCGTTGCTTTTTCCTGTTGTTCCGTAAGCAAGCCCAAATGCGTGCGAAAGAGACGTGTGCATTGCCAGGCAGCGCGTCGCCTGCTCGCGCACACAGCCCCAAACTGTCCGCACTGGGACTGCATGGGTGACGACGGGAGAACTATGGAGGCAGGAGCGGTGAAGGAAGACGTCACACGCGAGTGCATTGACCGATAGTTTGCGAGATGAATTGTATCGCGCGCGAGCGATGGACGGCACGCAAACCACACAAATTACAAGAGCACCGCTCATGCGAGGACGGGACTGAGTCGGTGTGAGCAGGTCGTCGTCTACTCTGCAGCCTCAAGCCCCATGGAATCCAGACGCGCATGAACTCCAACAGCAAAATAGAATCCCAGAATGTCTCCCTCTGCTCACAATACGTAGCAAGTTGGCGCTTCACTCTTCCCACATGGGGTAGGCAGAGGAGCGGAGTGGTTTTGCCAGCGGAGGCCCGAAGCGGTTAGGACGCCCGCACGTGCCATTTACCTTGGCAAGCCAACACTCGCAAGCGAGAACGATCGAAATTCCTCCCACTGTAAGAGCATCGACAACACCACATCGACGACGTACGACAAGCCGCCATCATGTGTGAGTATACCCGGAATCTGTCGACTCACATCAGTTGTTGCGACCCTGGCTTTCATTGCGCCGAGTGTGCCTCACCCAGCGCGTGGAGTGGGGTCGCAATAATTAATGTTCAGACACTTGTAATAGAGACATGCTGACAACTTTACAGCGCTCGTCTCCGGAGAGAAGTCTAAGTACGTTCAGACAAGAGTCTGCGATTCCCCGTTCAGCCCTCCGCTTCCTTCGCATCGAAACGCCTAGTCCCATAGAGACACACGACCTCGCATCCGCCTTCCAGTTCGACAGCACTCAGAAGCCAATGAAAGGGAACAGAGTAGACGATCGTACGCATCAAGCGTTGCAGAAAGATGAAGGAAACTATCCGTGCAAGGGGATGCTTTGTTGTGCTGTTCGGACTGGAGTGGCCAATTGCGATGGCTGATGGTTTTCGGATTGCGGAGGTCTTGCATAGAGGCAGCGCACAAACGGAGGCATATTCGCACCACAAGAGCATTGCTGACTTTACCAGCTTCCAATACATCATCCGTTTGTTGAACACGAACGTCGATGGCAAGCAGAAGGTCATGTACGCCTTGACCAAGATCACGGGTGTCGGTCGCCGATACTCCAACTTGGTCTGCAAGAAGGCCGATGTCGATCTGTCCAAGCGCGCTGGTGACCTCACCTCCGAAGAGCTTGAGCGTATCGTTACCATCATCCAGAACCCTCTCCAGTGTACGCCACGACCATCTCTCCAACAGGGATAATGACGCTGACACCCTGCAGACAAGATCCCCGCCTGGTTCCTCAACAGGCAGCGCGATATCGTCGATGGCAAGAACAGCCAGGTCCTCGCCAACGGTGTCGCCTCCAAGCTCCGTGACGATCTCGAGCGCTTGAAGAAGATCCGCGCTCACCGTGGTCTCCGTCACTACTGGGGCCTCCGTGTCCGTGGTCAGCACTCAAAGACCACCGGTCGTCGCGGCCGAACCGTCGGTGTCTCCAAGAAGAAGGGTTAAAGGTTTTCGCATGCGCTGGGCAGCTGGGGCTGGAACATGCCTTTACGAAATGGGTGGTGCACTTACGGTGTTTATCAAACGGCTTTCATTGGCTTTCACACTTACACTTCATGCGGCAATGCACGATATGAGGTGAGGTGATGCGGCACGGTTAGGGTTGGCCGAATACAGCCTGTACCAAAATCACACATTCAAATTTCGACTTGTTCCATCATGATGCGTATTCGCTTTCGACAGTCCAGGGTTCCGCATCAGTCATGTGAGGG